GACAATTGTCCTCGAGAGATATAGGTAGCGTCTAGTTAAGGTCTAGTTCATGCAAGGGTAGGATTTAGGGGTTAGGGTTTAGGATTGCCTGGAGGGTCAGGGGAATTCAGTCAGTAGGCAAATAGTGGGAAAACTGGTGCTATTAAACAGTTTCTATGTAGTTATCGAGTTGGAGATTCGCGTGATCATCATGAGGGGGCTTGGGGGGTTTAGGTCTTTAGGGTTTAGGATTTAGGATTTGGGGTTTAGGGGTGATTGTAGCCGTAGCGCTGAGCCCCAGAAGTCTAAAAGCCAATGTCTTAAGTAGGTAGTAACTGTAGCGATTAGGTAATCTATAAGTCTCCTCCAAACAGATAGGAAGCCTGGATTCGAAAGCGTAAAAGCTGAGCCGCGCACCCTAAGCCCTAAACCCTGAAGCCTAAACCCTATAAACCTTACCTCAGCCCCCCCCAGGCCTATATCTCTGGCCCGGGCTTGCCAATCTCTGTCCCGGCCCACACGGTGGCGCAGCTGCATTTGAGGATAATTTTGAATAGCTTAGTCTAAACTCCTTAAAGCGGGTTATATAGGGTTTCGGTTTCAGGGCTTAGGGTTTAGGGTCTAAACTCCTTAAAGGTAGGGCCTCTTGGGTGGAGTATTTTCAGCAGAATATAGTCTTGATTGTATCAAGCCCAGCAAAGTTCTCATGTGTCTTGCGGAGGTCGTTTAGGGTTTAGGGTTGAAATCATTTCAACAAGGAATCAACAGCCATCATCTTGAAGAGTATCCCAGTAGCTTGTCCCGAGAAGTACAACTGCTAAATCGTACCCCACTGAGGTGCCAGCTGAGTAGGGTTCAGGCGTATCAGACTTTCATTGTTTCAAAAGATTCGGTGTTTTCAGTGACAGCTGCTTTTCTTGAACGAACTTCAGAGGGAGCTGAATGGATTTAGGAGCAAGAGCCCGTGAACGCAGGTTCCAAAAATGTCTTGAGATTTATTTGAGAAATCCTGTGTCACGTTTATGCAAGAAACTGAGACCAATAGTACCAGTAAGACTTAAGGCCCGTATTATCCATTAAACCGTCAGGCCCGCAACAATCAACTGTGAGCATGCAATTGCTGCTCCCTACAGGTAAGCTTGGGTAAGTTGGTGGTCAAGTATGGGGTTCAGGGTTCATAGGGTTTAGGGTTTAGGGTACTGCCCCAAGTCATTAACAGTTGGTTAATATTAATTACATAGTTACATAGAGCCCTTTATATGACCCCTATTATAGACTGTTTACTGGGTGGGGGCAGGACCCAAGTTTCTCTCCAAACTGTAAACTGTTGACTCGGTACAATCCCTAACTAGGGTGCCCCCTGAATCCCACTCGAGCCTTCATGCTTCCCTAGGGGGCCCCAAGGGTACCTCAATTTCAAGTCTAATAAACACGGGTATATCTCATGTAGTCAGATAGCCGGGTGAAGGGACTAGTCCCGGAAACCTCTATGTCCAACTTTGCGAGGCAGGCACCCGTATTTCTTCGTAAGCTCGAACTTTTCAATTCCTAGCCTTAGCTCTGTCATTAGGAGCCCCGGGAAGCATTTAGTTATAGCCTAAACTCCTAATATTTCCCTTCGTAACCCCTATATGAGCTATAGTCTAAACTCTGTTGCGGGGGTTATATAGGGGATTATAAAGGGGACTACTATAGGGGTTATGAAGGGCATACTAGGAGTTTAGACTGTGGCTCATATAGACCCCTTTTTAAGGAGTTCGGACATTCAACCCTAAACCTGAAACCCTATGTAACCACCTTGAGGGAGTTTTTACCCTAATCCCTAAGCCTTAAACCCTAAGCCTCAGACCTTAAACCCTAAACCCTATGTAGATTCTTGGAGCTTCCGAGTAAAACTACCACAGGATTGCCAGGACGTGCTGATCTTTCAAGCAACTGGACGCAAGAGGTGGGACTCCTTGAAGGAGGTTATATAGTGCCTTCTTCCCAAAATTAGGGGTACCGATTTGAGGGTCCCCATAATAAGGACTATCGTATGTAAGGGTCTATATTGGGTTCCCCCTATTTTGGGAAATTACCCTCTAGGGGACTATGTAATGTAGGATTTAGGGCTTAATGTCTAAAACCTCAACCCCAATGCGTCTAGCGTTGAGGCTCTAAGCCAAAGTCACCTGCATTGAGCTATTTGGAGCTTCGAGTTCCAAGTAGATTATTCCCTCGGAGTTAAGTCAGCATGTAAGGACATTAACGCCATCGACTGCAGGTCGATTGGTTGGTATGAACGGCTATGAATATCCACAAGGCGCAAGTATAGTTTGAACGTATAATTCTGGACTCACGTATGGTTCCTAATCGAGCTTTGTTGTTGTGCTGATGGTTTAGTTCCGGACTGACAGGCAGGCAATGACGCATCCAGTCTAAATCGCGAGGAATTGACCTTAAATCACAATTACAGTCGGAAGTCTGTAGCACCGAAATCCTAAGCCGTAGCCCTAAACCCAAACCTTACACAGCGAATCTGAGTCTACTTGAGGTTTAGGGTTTAGGGTTTACAGTTCAGGGTTTACGGTTAAGGGTGTAGGACGTTTTAGGGTTTGGGGTGTAGGGTTTAGGCTTACGCACTTTGGGTCGTAAAGTGTATAATTAATTTAGCACATACCGCGGGCTGGTTGGGTCTCTAGTGTCACAAAACCTTGCTGCAACCCTTTTGAAAGGGTTTCAAGGACCGTCAACCCCAAACCGGACACCCTACCTGGAGTCCAACAGGGTTTAGGGGTTACGGTAAAATATTGGCCCCAAACCAAAAAAAGATTCATCCAAAGACTTGTTGATTACTCGCCATGCTTCATGTCGTTTGGTGGCCCCTATAAACTCAGCCTATAAACCATTTGAGACCCTAAAACATCCAACTCTAAATCCGAAACCCTAAATCTTTACAAGCCCTATATAGAAACCTAAGCCCTCAACCCCCTCACCCTAAACCCGACATCCGTATAAACATATAAACCCTAATCCCTCTATACCCTAAACCCTAAACCCTCAAACCCTAAACCCTCAACCATAAATCCCCCCTGTTTCGAAGAAGCTGGCAGGTGGCAAGCCCACGCTCCGCCAACGGTGGTAACCAAGGCGGCTGAGAAGCATCCCCCAAGGAGTTGAAACCCCTTTAGGGCTTAAGGCTTAAGGTTAAGGGACTTAATGCCTTTGGTTTAGGGTTTAGGGTAAACCCCAAAAATATGTAGAAAAAGAGCACCAAACCCAGAATAACAGCCAGAAAAGGCCATGTTGATGCACTTTCTTTGGGTTTCAGGTATTCCCCAGTTAAAGCGTCTCAGAAGCCGGGGGATCAAGGGATTGGGTTTGGAGAGCTGTCTTTCTGGGACTCTACAGTGGATGGAGGAATTCTCGCACTCCCAGGGCCCACATATACAACCATTAGGGAATTGGGACCCATAATTCCTTCTATAGTATAGTATTTTGGGGCCTAATTCCCTAATAGTTGTATATTAGGATCCTCTGGGACTGGCATATCATTAAGAACATTGTTACACCTAAACCCTAAACCCTAAACCCTAAACCCTAAACCCTAAACCAAACATGAAGGCCTTGAAGGTGCCAATTGTTGTGAAGTTGTTTTACCTGAAGTCCTGGCCCTGGCTGGTCTTTCTTTAAAGGGACTCTACTGGGAACCCCAAATAGGGAACCCCAAGAATATAGCAGGAATATAATGGAATATAAGGACCTTGGTAGGTATATTCCTATTATATACCTAAAATATTTTACCCTAAACCCTAAATATTTGGGGTTCCCAGTAGAGTCCCTTTAACTACGGAGCTGGGATGGCGGGTACCACACAAAAGCATGGAGCCATCACACAGCGCCAGCGGACATGCAATGCACCACCCTTGGTCCAATTTAGGGTTTAGGGTTTAGAATTCCAGGCTGATAGCACCCATCATGCCCCAATATGACCCCCCATATAAGCCCTATAACCGCTGTAGTTTCCATTTCATGTTCCACTATCCCAATATATCCCCTATATAACCCCAATGTATACCCTATCATAATATAGTTGTTTCCATTTTCTTTGCCAATATCGCAATATAACCCTAAACCGCTAAACCCTAAACCCCTAATTCCTGAACCCTACACCCTATATATCCCCTATATGACCCCAACAATGTTGCCACTGGTTCGGGCTGCCGCTTGCTCTGCTCAGCAGAGCCATGTGCCGGGCCTCGCCAGGTGCCCTTAAGTGGAGAGCAGCAGAGCCTGCAGTGTCTTAGAACAAAAAACAAAATACTATGTTTAGGGTTTATGGTTTAGGGTCTAGGGTTTAGGTGTTTAGGGCTTAGTAGATTTAGAGATAATGGAGATAGAAACTACTATATTGGGGTTATATAAAAGCTATGTAGGGTTTAGGGGTCATGGAGAAGAAAGTGGAAACTACCATATAGTATATTAGCGTTATGTACGGATGATGGAAAAGAAAATGGAAACTGCTATTTTAGGGCTTAGGGGGGTACCCTTTTGAGGGGGTATATTGGGAATATGCTGCAAACTGGAGTTTCCTTGAAGGAGCCCTCTACAGTCCCACATATCCAAAGGGGCCCCCTCATTTGGGAAACTCCCGCATCAGAATGCTGCACGTTGCTATTATAGTAGTCTCCATTTTCTTTTCCATTATCCCATTATAGCCCCAATATTATAGTAGTTTCCATTTTCTTTTCCATTATCCCTAATATTACCCCAATATAACTGCTACATAATGCATGTCAAGGCGCCGCAGGCAATTGGCTTGTCAATCAAGCCAGCCTACAGTAAGCACCACGAACAAGGATAGATCAGGTCACATTGTTCCTTTTGTGTTGGCCTACCAGACCTAGTGGCATCCGCATATAACCCTAATATAACCCCAATTTAACCCAAATATAACCCAACCTTCAACAACTCTTAGGACATTCCATTACCATTATAGCACACAGCAGAGCTCCTTTCAACTCAGAAGAGCTCCATCCAACATGGCTCATTCGCACGACTTGTCGCTCTTGCGGCGTTTGGTCGTCGAAGTGGTTGAGAAGGCCTGTTGATGCCTCTGATACCTCGACAGCCTTGACATTCCTCAGCAAGTGTGTGAGGCATGCCACCTTACATCAAAGATCCAGAAGAAGATTCTGCATGAGGAGGTCCTGAAAAAGGAAGACTTCTCACCTGCTTCTTGGCTGACTGGAGACGAACAACCTCCATCCTGGGGATTAGTCGGGAATAAGGGAATAAATTGGGGTTATGTAGAGATAATGGAGAAGGAAATGGAAACTACTGCTTTACAATAGGGTATATATTGGGGTTATGGAAGGGGATATTGGAATACTTGGCGGCTCAGGGGGATTTAATAAGTAGGTTCATAGCCCCTATAACCCATAATATGATAACCCTAGCTATACCCATTCTTAACCCATTCTTAACCTACTTACTAAGTCCCCCTGACCCTAAATCCTGAACCCTAAACCCTAAAAAGTATATGGTAGCTTCCATTTCCTTTTCCATTATCCCAATATAACCCCAATATATCCCTTTAATCCCTATATACCCCAATATAGTAGCTTCCATTCTATTTTCCATTATCCCAATGTAACCCTACCATAACCCTAATCCAACTGTACATTGACTAAGTGAGACTATGACCTTGGTAGTGTCCTGCTAGCGAGCAGGGATCGTCCGAAGTCTTTCAGCTGTTGCTACCACGCGGTTTAGGGTTTAGGGTTTAGGCTTTTTGTTGGAACATGGGGGTTTCCCAAAATGATGGTTACCTTTTGGGGGGGGGGCGAAATAATAAGGATTAGAATAAATTTTGGTTCTATAATTGTTGGGGTCCCCTTATTTAGGGAAGCTACCACATAGAGCAAGACGGCTGTGGGGGTACATGGAGTCTACCCAGATACACGCACAGGAACCCTACACCCTAGACCCTATGCCCTACCCAGACCCCTGGGGGGATCTAAAAATTAGATCCCCTGTATAGACCCATTATAACCCCTATATGACCCTTATATAAAATCCCATATGGTTCTAGGGGATCTAATTTTGAGATCCCTTTGGGGGTCTGGGTAGACTATAAACGCAAGGGAGGGTCCTTAGGAGTCCAAAGCCAGCGTTTCTTGACTCCTCTCATTGGAGCTTCTCCAAAGAAGCTCTGCAGAATCGCTGGGAGGAAGCACAATTTATCATCCCTCCGTTTTCCCGGGCACCAATTTGACAAACTTAAACCACCACGCCCGCCAATATTTGGGGTACCAGAAGCTTGACCAACCCATGCTGAAGCAATAGCTCCCAAGCATCACCTAAATGACGATAAACCCTATGAAACACCACTTTTCATGTCATTGTCCATATTCCTGTCCATTTGGCTCCCCATCATTAGGGTACACACAACATCCCCAAACCAAACAAAATCCCTTGATGATCACCGTAGATCTCTACGATCCTTATATCTTCCCCGGATATCCCTATACAATCTCTTTTTTAGTCTCTAAACCCTGAAACCATAAACCCTAAACCCTACATAGTAGTTTCCATTTTCTTTTCTATTATCCCAATATAAACCCAATATAACCATAATATAACCCCTATAACCTCTATAGTTTCTGTTTTCTTTTCCGTTATCCCAATATATCCCCTACATATATATAACCCCAATATATACCCTATCATAATATAGTAGTTTCCATTTTCTTTTCCAATATCCCAATATAACCCTAAACCCCTAAACCCTAAACCCCTAATTCCTAAACCCTACACCCTATATATCCCCTATATAACCCCAATATACTGTGGTAGTTTCTTGAGTTTCTGAGGTCACGATTGCAGATTTTGCCTCCCAAGCTCTGGTCGGTCACATTCTCTACCAAGCCTCGGGGCTTTTCTTAGGGCCCTGTTCAGGGGTTTGGGGTTTAGGGTTTGGGTTTAGGATTTAGGGAAATATAGGGGGTTCTATATATATATATATTCCCCAATAAGGGAGAATCAAATGGCAAAGGAAATGGCCAAGGAAATGGAAACTGCTATATGTAGGGTTATATAAGGATCATATGAGCTATAGTCTAAGCTCCTTCAGGGGGTGGTTATACAGGAAATTATTATAAGGGTTACTAAGGAAGATACTAGCTTTTTAGACTTTTGCTCATATGGATCCCTTGAAAGGCGTTTATTGGAAGATAGGGGATGAAAGGTATATTTGTAGGGTTGTAGGGGCTTATAGGCCGATTTTACATTTTTCATGTATACCTGAACCCGATTTGGAGTACCCTAAACCTTAAACCCTAAACCCCAAACCGATGATCATATTTTAATGCCTGGCAAATCATCAAGGCCTTCCCCGACATCCCTATGGTGGGCGAGGAGGTGGGGGAGCTCGCAGAACGAAAACCATATGTTATTCAAAAGGTGCTCCATTGGGTCTTGCAAAACCACCAAGTAAGAAGGAGGGGTCACAAGGGCACTTGGCACATGTCAGAGTTTCGAAGTTGGTACATTTTTGTGGAACACCTGGGCCCCGGTCACGGTCCTTGATCAACTTTAGTGATGCCCGGCCTCAGTCGATCATTCTAGTGCAGCTGACCTTTTCGTGAAATTGCCAGAGCTGGATCAGGCAAGGAAAGGATGCAAAAGAAGCATGTTCCCCATGTGAGCATCGTATAAGCAGCTACCGTATTTCCAGGAAGGAAGCAAAGGATCCTCCATTTCTCATGTGACAAAGAAGCATCTGTGAAATCCGGCTGGTGGGTTCTTAAAAATGTGGCTGTCCGCTTGGAAAAAGCGCGTTCAGGTTGTTGGATGGATTCCTGTTGGAACCTTACACCCCCCACACCCAAAATCTTTAAACCTTCATCCTGAACCATTTCGAGCATGAAAGTCCAAGTGGAACCTTACAGCCCGCAACCCAAATTGGTAGTAGAGAAGGTCCCTGCTACAGACCCTCAAATACTATAATCCTGATTACATGGATTTTCAAAAAGGTGCCCCCCAGTTTTCGGAAACCCTGATCCCTATAAAACCCTGATAGGCCCTATATATAATCCCAGCTTCCATTTCATTTTCCTTTTCCATTTGAGTCTCCATTATGACCCCCCAAAAAGGTACCCTTAAGCTTGGGAAACCCTAAGCCCTAAACCTTAAACCCTATAATATCCCTATAATGACCCTTTCTAGCCTCTATAAGCTCCTTCTCAGGTAACCTTAAACTTGGGAAACCCCCGCCAAAGAAACCCTGCAACCTAGTTTTCTAGACCCCAAACCCTAAACCCCAAATCCAAAAACCTTAAACCCCCCCACCAAAGAAACCACCAACACGGAGGACGCGTCAGCTCTACGGGCCGACCCTGCCATGGCAAAGAAGGCAAGGGGAAGTTCCCCAAGCTAATGTAGATCCATAATGAGTTAGGGTTTAGGGGTTAGGGTTTAGGATTTAGGGTTGAGGCTTCAGGGTTTAGGCTTTAGGATTTAGGGGCCTATAAAGGAATTGTATCGGGGTTTAAGGTTTAGGGGCTTATAAAGGAATTTGTATGGGGGTGTAGGGTTTTGGGCTTAGGGGGCTAATGTAGACGCATGATGAGTTAGGGTTTAGGGGTGTGGGGCTAAAGGTTTAGTGTTTGATGTAGACCCCTCATTAATAAACCCCCTCCTTTAAAGGGCCTAAATATTAGGATCCGTAGTAGAATCCCTATTAAGGGGAGGGTGTTTATTAATCGTGGGTCTACATTATGGGGCTTATATAGGAATTGTATGGGGGGTATATGGGGATGATATAGGACTTACACAGGGATTATGTGGAGTTGAGGGGATTCTTATTTCCTGTACTGGAGAGTCAAATGGAAAAGGAAATGAACAATGAAATGGACAATCCTCCCTAGACAATTACTAATGTTTGGGGGGGGGGGGGCACTTTTAGCAATCCGTAGGGTCCCGCAGAGTGCGCAGTTTGGAGAACCCCCCCCCCAGGTTCAAGTACGTTCTTGCCATGAATTGCGCAAGTCGGTGGTCTCTTTAGATGGCGCACCATTATCTAGAACAGAGGACTCATATTTGGCTCTATGGGGAAGAAATCAAAAGAAGCTGCGATTCACACTAAGTCGGTGTGCCGATGCAGGATTGTCTGAATTGTGCTTGCATCAGATTTGTCATGAGTGACAATATTGCCACTCATGAGTTGGTTGATGTCATGCGCAATGATTCTGAGTAAGGCTATCTCTGGTTCCATGTGGCATAATCGTACTGTTGCAGCGCGTATAGCCGGGTGCCAACAAAGCATAGTCTCAAAGTTAGGCACAGAGTAGGTCGTAGATCTCCTCCCTGGCCAAGAGAAAGTGGATGCCAGATAATGTACGTTCACTTGGTGCTCACATCAATACATAGCTTACTGGAGAATCTGGCTCCTGTAAAGGTGTCAGACCACGTGAAGGAGTTCATCTCCGACATTTCCATGGACGAGGTTCTCGGCGCCCTCGACCGCGGGAATCATCCAGGGGGTGAAGGCACCTTTTGGGTACTTGACCCTATCGATGGTACGAAGGGCTTCCTACGGCAAGAGCAGTTTGCTGTTTGCCTCTGCCTGATAGAGAACGGTCGTGTCTTGGTCGCGGCTTTGGGCTGTCCTAATCTTCCAGTTGATGCAGCTTTGCCAGACGGCGAGAAGGGCTGTATCTTCGTTGGAGTTGCAGAGCAAGGCGCTTCCCAGATCAACATAGCTACTGGCAAGGAGTTCCCTATCTGTGTGTCCAGTAGCTCCGATGCATCTTCAGCCACATATGTGGAATCGCTTGAATCCTCCCACTCCAGCCACGGACGGCATGCTGAGATTGCAGGTGCCCTGAGAATGGGGCCCCCGATTCGGATGGATAGCCAGTGCAAGTTTGGAGTGGTCGCCAGGGGACAGGCAAGCCTCTACCTCCGCATCTCTAAGACGCCGCAGTACATTTGGGATATCGCAGCCGGCGCAATGATTGTGGAAGAGGCAGGTGGCCGGGTGACCGACTTATCCGGCAAACCCTTGCAGTTCTCCCTTGGAAGGACGGTGGGCACGGCAGCTCTCTTTGCGTCTAATGGCCGCATACATGACCAGGTCTTGGCAGCTTGCTCGCCTTCGGAAGACAGCAGCCTGTGCTTCGTCTAATTATCTGTGCGAGCGTGCAAGCCTGTAAGCAACAATTTTGCGAATTATGTCTGGGCCTCGCAGACAAGGTGAAAGACATGAACTAGAAGAGAAGTCAGAGAGAACAAATGTTTCTTCACAGGACAACCTGTCTGCGGTGCAGTAGGGTGGTTTACTATGAAGCTCAGCAAGGCTGATCCAATCTACAAGTTTCGGCACGGCAGTGCACAACAAACCTTGCCAAAAGCCTGCACCGGCACTTGTAAGACTCTCAGACCTAAGACGCTTGCGGTGGTCACTTGCACCAGTTGCTTCAGTCAAACAACGTGATGTTACGGTTGTTCTTTTAATGTAGTATTAGGGTTTAGGGTTTAGGGTTTAGGGTTATTCTGGAGCACACTACGGGATCTTGATTTGTGTAGTGCAGCCCTTGTTTTCTGCCATCATACTCAATGCCGCTTCCAGCAAACTCGTGATTCGTCATTCTCTCAGTGACCACCGAAACTGTGCTAATTTTATGAATGACTCCGCATGTGTTCCTCTGCTCCCCTAGAGTGAACAACTAGACAAACAAAATCTGCCTGACAGGGGAGCAAAGTGCATTTCATAACTTGATGTGCAAGATTCCTGGCCGGTCAGATGAAGGAAGTCAGGACCAGCTGACCAGCTGTCAATGCATCTATTTCAACTGACTGGAATGGGGTAGCCGACTTGAATCTTTGTCTCACACCTACCGCAGAAAAATCCAAAGCAAAAAACTTGGCAAGCTTGTGAACTGGACAGCAGAAACCTAACATGAGCTGTAGTCTAAACTCCTAATATCCTCCTTGGTAAGCCCTATAATGTTCCCCTATATGATCACCCAAAGAGCTGCCTTTCAGGAGTTTAGACTATGACATGGTGCAGCAACCAATTGAGAAAACTTGATATTTCCCAGTTGGCTGGGGGAAAAAGAGCCCCCAGTTGGTTCAGACTTGATTAGTACTCTTATTATTACTTCGGGATAACTATAGTCACGTATGGGCGTTACTAACCAGCTTTCTAAGTCCCCCTGACCCCCCCCAAGTTCTATTGCTGTTATTGGATATGTTACGTTCATTGCTATTACTGTTAGTGTTTCTATTATTCGTAGTGTTCTTACTATCACTATTATTTCTATTTTGTCATGATTCTTAATGCCTATGATGATTAATATTAGTATGCCCATACACCGGCATGCTGTTTGAAAACTTAAGTTAAGCTACTAAAATGAGGACACGCGATTATTTACTTTACTATATACAACGCCATGATATGGTAAGTTAATTTCAGCTCCTTAACAGCAATCCTGTACATGGTCCACCCATCCTGACAGGGCCAGGCCCGGCGGTCGTCCGCCTGCACTTCTTTGGTGCCTGGGGCTTGGGGGTTTCATGGGGGGCTTATATAGCGTCATTTGAGGTTATGTAGGGATAGTATAGGGATTATAGAGGGGTTATACAAGGATATCACCCCGGTAATGGGGATCAAATGAAAAACATGCAACATTGAATGGGAACTGGGACTATATGGTGGTAGACATTGGGGGCTTGCCCAAAATCAGGAGTCAATCTTCGTTTAGTCCGCATAAAAAGGATGATGTCATTTTGGGGTCTATACGGGGGTTTCCATATTTCTTGAAGCTACCTAAAAGGGTAGTTCCAGGGTAAGGGCTTTGGATTTAGGGTTTAGGGTGTAGGGTTTAGGCCTACAGCACATGCAAGGAAAGCAAACTTCCTGAGGCCCAGGGCTGGCAATTGCTGCGCGCGGAGTCAGTGTGCTCCGCCACGGCAGGTAGGGCTTAGCATTATTATGATGATGGTTATTCTTATTGTTATTACTATATCTCTATTATTATTGTTATTATGACTATTGTTAGGGAAGCGTGCCTTCAAAATCGAACGGGCAGCAGTGCAGCCCAAATTTCAGGAACACTGGAAGATACCTCAACGTCAACGATGGTGTTGCAGGCTGCTGCGAGCTGTGCAGTCGGGAGCTTGGTGGGCCTTTCTAACTGGGTTTCAGTACGGAGTATGTGAAGATATTTTAGAGGGGTTATATCGCCCTGAAATGTGCGGCGCAGCGATTTTGTATGGCAGGCGCAGCACTCTCGTACCTTCATACAGCAACATGGCCCGCAAAAACAAAAAAAATTGCGGGCGACTCTGGGCAGCGCAGGGGATCGTCATTTCCTCGAGAAACTTGAGTTTTTCGCGTTTTTACGGTGCTGTTCCCAATGGGAAATGGCCGAAACACTGACATGCGTGGGCTATCCAGCATTCGCGGCCAATGTGTAGTCTTGAGGAATTGCTCGTTGCGGCCGCTGCGCGGGGGTGTCTTGGAAACGAGATGCAAGCAAATCTTCAGGGTTGTGACAGTGTCACGTGTACTGCAATTTACAGCATGTTACGTGCGTTCGCGAGGTTGCAGAAAAACATGCTCTGACGTGCACTCGCGTCAATGCTGCGTGGGCCAGTGAATTTTGCAGGTCGCACGTGCGCAAGTCCAACGTTGCATGAACGGCTTCCAGGCGCTCTATAATTTGTTTAACGAACCCTGGGGGCACCATGTTTTTCATGCTGTGTAAACTTTCATGAGGCCTGGGCAGAATAGGTCTTTTTTCGCG